TTAGCCCGCCTCTGACAGTTGGCACCCGGCACCTCACATCTCCTCGACTGGCAATTATGAGCCCTTCATCCCTTATTTAGGCAACCTGGCCTAATTTGATCGCGGGGCCTCGGCGCCGGCCGCGCCATTCGATTACCGGGGCGGCGCACCGGCGTTGCGGCTCGAGTCCGCTTTTGTTCCCCGCGCGTCATCCGGAGGGGAGGCGGATCCGAGGAAGAACCCGTGAAGGTGACGGCTTCCGCGGACGAGCATCTCGGGGTCAGTGGGCTGATGATTACGGCGCCCACGCGGAGACGGTCGACACCTAGCGCAGCATGAAGATTAATATGCTGCTTGTTTGTACCACACGCACACAAAAAAAAAAAAAAATGTCGGTGATGGTGGCGTCATTTGGTGGCAAATCAACAATCAACAAAATCACTCAGCGCAGTTTGTTTCCGAAGGGGCGTTGGTCACAACCCCTATATAGCCCGTTCAAACCAAAATGGCGGACTTCCTGCGTGCGTTCAGGCATGGCTCTTCCGACTTTTTGGTGGGTCTTCTCAAGATAGACATGCCAGCCAAATTTCAGATTGCAAAGTGAAACTGGCTGACAAAGCACGACCAAATTCGTGACAATGTGGCCTCAGTCATCTGTCTCGGGCATGTGGTTGAAATTTGGTCGCAATTTGACAAATTCTTGAGCTTGTTTTCAAATGACCCCTTTTAATGGCTGAAACAGACGTAAAATGGCTCCTCCAAAATTCAAGTGGCAAAATGAAACAGACTTGTCTGCGAGTCATTATCCTGGTTTACTCATGATAACGATGCCTTCCAAAAAAGGCGGAGTTAAAAGACGCCTGAAGAAATTTGCGTCACGAATACACCACAAATCGCCAACCCTTCTCTCGTCTCAATCAAGCGATGCAAAATCGCAAGCTAACGATGACAAAGTTGCAACCAAATGATGAAACGTTTATTTTTTATTTTGTTTTAAAGGCAAATTCAGTATTTTCCCAACTCTTAATTTGGCGAGCATACACGTGTGAGCCGCACTGCTGCTAAATTCATGCAAATGCATGCATGTAATTTATCACAAAGGCTGACAAGCGTAGCATATTGCAGGGGGGTGAGGGGGTGAAGGGCCAAATGAAGCTGAGACAATCAATTACGTTTCTTAATTTACACTTTCGCCACCTTTTTGTGTGCAGTGAGAGACACACAAAAAATTTAAAAAAACGCACGTATGGTAGTCGAAGTTTGTGTTGCATGGTGGCGCGCGCTTGACGTTGATTGGCTTGATCCAGTCGGAAAAGGTGGCGAGCCTCCAGCCGACGCGCGGCAGAGGCCCGACGCGGGAGGAAACAAATGAATGGACGCAACCCAAAGGGGGTCCGGCAAAATTAGTCGGCCTCCTGCGGCGACACCATATTGCCGGGGAATAATCATAATACTAATAACAATAATAATGCTCCGTTATTAAAAAAAAAAAAAAAAATTTAAAAAAGATCCCACTGACAGTCTCACGGTGGTGACAGTCAATATCCTAAACGCACGCTAGCAGCTCACCCACGAGATGAAACAATGTCACAGTGGGAAGGTCACATTTCGGACATTTTTAATCTGATTTCGACAGAAAGATGTCATTTGATTCCGTCCCCTTAATCGTATCAGCGCATTAGCTTGGGAGCTACGGTATTAGTTAAACGTCCCCCCCCCCCCATTTTATTTTTTTTAATTTTGAACTTCAGCTTGACATGTGCCACTCGCTGAATTGTAGCGCACCGAGAAAGACAATTTGAGAATTAGAAGATTACAAGGAATAGCACGCAGCCACTAATGGCAACCGTTTTATAGGGTTGATGAAAACAGAAAGTCAAGAGATTTCAAAATATGTTCTTATTTTGTAGGACAGATTTCATTGAGATTTTTTTTGTTGTTGTTGTTCTTTGGAAAACGTGATTCGCTACAATTTTGAAAAATCTTACTTATTGTACTTCCGGAGAATGAATCATCGTTTTCGCACATAACTTCTTGAGACTTTTTGTTGTTGTTGTTGGTCTACTGTTAAAAAACATGTTTTCCAAATTTCAGTTTGCTAAGTCAAAGAGGCTGGAGGCGCTGCATTTCTAAATTCTAATATTTTGTTTGCCAAGTCATCAAACTCCTCGTATGGTCGCGTGTAACCAAATTCGCTGACTTCCTGCATGTTTTGCTCAGATGTATTTTTTTTTTTTTTTTTTGTGGGTCAACTCAAGGCTGAAGGCTGCAACCTCAAAGTCACAATTTGGTAAAGTTCATATTTTTGTCACAAATCCATACTATTGGTCAATCAACGCACGTACGTGATTTTTACAACTTACTGACAAATCAAGTGTTGAAAATGACTTGCGCTCTTTGACCAACGCTCACGCTTGAGTAATCAGGCCGTTTTTTGGGGGGTTCTCCTGAAAAGTGATGATTTTGAAGGGGCGAGGATTCTGTCTCCAAACTCGCACAGAGCACGATTGTCAAAATCGATCGTCTTTGTCGCTGATTTCAACATAGACGCGCATAGCCCAGATGCATCCGCATCACCATGAGCACGTGCGTCGCGGTCAGAAGGGGGAATTTCCAGTCGAGTCCGGCTGACCCCGCTAGTCGCCTGCCACGTTAAACAGGACAATCGCTCTTCAGAAAGAGGAAGACGCCAAAGAAAAATGGAGGACAAGAAGCAAAGAAGCGCCCTGCCCATTGCTGTGGAAACAAAAGAGGCCTTGAAAACAGGGTCACATGCGCTGCGAGAAATTTGGGGGTGTGGGGTGGCTGACAGCGGGAGACGCCATATTGATTTATACAATAACGCATGGGTCAAAAACTGGGCCCGCGCTGGAATCGCAGGCACATATATCAGGAGCGCAGGGCTTCCTCCTCCTTCTTGAGCAGGCGCGCAAGCAACACTGCTCGCAACGTCGTCGCAAGGGTGGCACCGGAGGGTCCGAGACGACCAGCACAGCGGAGGGCCCCTCTGCCGGCGGCGCCTTTACGAGACAGCACATGCTTCGGATTAGCAGGCCGTAATCTGGGCAAAATCCCCGCGCCTCGATCACGCACGCGGACTGCGACGGGCCGAAGAGGTTGCAGAGAAGCCGGCGCTTGGGAGCTGGCCGCACGCTGACGTCGCGGCGCTCTTCGACGGGAATTTCGGACGCGGTCTGCTTCCAATAAACGAGGCGAGCCGGGCCACAGTGGGAGGGAGGATGGAACATTTGGCAAGACGGGAAGCCACTGTACGCTCCAAAGTCACAATGTGACGTGGGATTATGAAGTGAATAGGGCAAACGTTGTGGCCAAAATACATGGGGAGGCTTGTTTTTCTTTTTTGTGGGGGGCTAGTTGTGAATGACGACGACTCGCACGGCCATTTGTCAGCGGATTCACGTGCGGGAAAGAAGAAAAGTCTTCAATGGGACGGCTTTGACTTGTCCCGCTCGGAAGATTTATCGGTTACAAAATGTCAGGCTTCAAAGATATCAAAGCATGAGACTGGGACATGCAATGCTGTCACCGCTTGGCCCCACGATCGTCATTTACGATCTGATTGCGCAATGTGTTCACGCCCGATTCCGCTGACCGCCACTAGGTGGCGCATGCGTGTTTGAGACCTGCAAAATCACGTTGTGACGCCATCCGTCTGTCCATCGGTCACACTTTTGGGTCTTTCTTACTGTATCTCTTTGTTCTTCTTTCATTTGATGTGCTTTTCAACGTGAGAGATGGAGGCAGGCAGTGGATGCGAGAGCGAGACAGAAAAAGATTTGTGCAAAAGTGATTTCCTATGAGATGATGGACAAGTGTGTCGGTCAAAATAATAATACTTGATAAAGGTTTGTGCTTCAATTATTTTTCAACACACATGCACACGCACGCACACACACACACACACACACACACACACACACACACACACACACACACACACACTTATATATAAGACTGTGCAAACCTCCCAAATTTCAGCCTTTCAACAGGAAAAATGTTTTGAAAATGTCAGATTTCGGTTTGACCTTCCTCTGTCGAATCGAATCGAAGATCTTTTGTGCAATCCCCCCCCCCCCCAAAAAAAAAACCTGCAAGCATCTGCTCTTCCTTTTTTTCTGACATGTGCTGGACCAAACCAGTGAGTGAATGTTAATTCATTTTTTGTACGTTTCCTACATTGTGTTATTGAAATATTTTTTGGAATAGAGAAATGAAAATTAGGACTTGTTTTAAATTTGGAAAAATCTGATCCAACGAATAATCCAAAAACAAAATAATTGACCAATGAAGTGATGATGATGTTATGCTAGTATGTGGCCATCTAAATCCAATAGAAGAGCACATTGTTATTTTAAAGTGAAGAATATATGCGCGTACACGTAGAAAACAAAATGGAAATGTCTTTTTCCTTCCTAGAGTTGAAGACGCTCATACACGGCTGGATTATTTTTAATAATTACACACGACAACTGAAACGTTTTCAACTGTAGCTGCGAGAAGAACGCTAAACGGATTCCTTCGTGTCTTTTGTGACGTTTCAGAACGGAGTTATACATGCCACATATTCACCAATGCGCCAAAAATAAATACAAAAATATCAATGACATTTTTGTACAAAAAAAAAAATTAAATCAAATCTAAGGTCTTTTCCAAATAGCTTGGAAGAAAATTTCGATCTGGTTGAGTGAAGAAAAATAGAATGCGGATATCAACGAGTATTTGCCACGCTGACAACGAGCAGCTGTCATTTCTACAATTGAATAGAAAATACAGTGGTGGGGTGGGGGGGCATAAAACAGCACACCCCAAAAGTGCTATTTTTTTCCCCCCTTGTGCGTGGGTGAATTCCCTCGTGCGTCGACTCATACTCGCTGTGGCCTTCGGACGAGCCCAAGCCGTCTATAAAGAGCCCCGGACTGAGCGGAGTCGTTATGACGTAGCGCGCGGCCATTGGGCCAGCCCGCCGCAAGCCCCTCCCTTGCAATAAAGCCAGCTTGCCTGCGCGCGCGAACACCGCCGCGGTGCTCGCCAGCAGAGCACATTTGCACTCGGCGCAAAGCGCGCACGCACACTTTGCATTCGGCGCAGGACAGCGGGGGCACTTTTCGCTCCCTTCTTCGCGCTCACTTGCGACCGTTTCTCAGCCATGTTAAGTCGCGAGGCGTGAGCGCCGCGCGGCCGTCCCGGAGCTCGAGCCCGCCCGCCCGCCCCCCCACCACCACCCACGTCCCCTCCCTCTTCTTGTTCTCCTTCTCCTTTTTTCTTCGTAGAGCGTTGCCTTTTCTCCTCTAAAATTGGCTCCCGTACAAACCGCCGCGTTGGATCCGTCGGCGTACTGCGAGACTCCGGTGTACAACCCGGATCTCTGCCCCAACATGATCGCCGCGCAGGCCAAGCTGGTGTACCACCTCAACAAGTACTACAACGAGAAGTGCCAGTCGCGCAAGGCGGCGGTGTCCAAGACCATCCGCGAGGTGTGCAAGGTGGTGTCGGACGTGCTGAAGGAGGTGGAGGTGCAGGAGCCGCGCTTCATCAGCTCGCTGAGCGAGATGGACAACCGCTTCGAGGGCCTGGAGGTCATCTCGCCCAGCGAGTTCGAGGTGGTGCTCTACCTCAACCAGATGGGCGTGTTCAACTTCGTGGACGACGGTTCGCTGCCCGGCTGCGCCGTGCTCAAGCTGAGCGACGGCCGCAAGCGCAGCATGTCGCTGTGGGTGGAGTTCATCACCGCTTCGGGCTACCTGTCGGCGCGCAAGATCCGCTCGCGCTTCCAGACGCTGGTGGCGCAGGCGGTGGACAAGTGCAGCTACCGCGACGTGGTCAAGATGGTGGCGGACACCAGCGAGGTCAAGCTGCGCATCCGCGACCGCTACGTGGTGCAGATCACGCCCGCCTTCAAGTGCACGGGCATCTGGCCGCGCAGCGCGGCGCACTGGCCGCTGCCGCACATCCCGTGGCCGGGGCCCAACCGCGTGGCCGAGGTCAAGGCGGAGGGCTTCAACCTGCTCTCCAAGGAGTGCTACTCGCTCAACGGCAAGCAGAGCTCGGCCGAGAGCGACGCCTGGGTGTTGCAGTTCGCCGAGGCCGAGAACCGGCTGCTGCTGGGCGGCTGCCGCAAGAAGTGCCTGTCGGTGCTCAAGGCGCTGCGCGACCGCCACTTGGAGCTGCCCGGCACGCCGCTCAACAACTACCACATGAAGACGCTCGTCTCGTACGAGTGCGAGAAGCACCCGCGCGAGGCCGACTGGGACGAGAACTGCCTGGGCGACCGCCTCAACGGGATTCTATTGCAGCTCATCTCCTGCTTGCAGTGCCGCCGCTGCCCGCACTACTTCCTGCCCAACCTCGACCTCTTCCAGGGCAAGCCGCACTCGGCCCTGGAGAACGCCGCCAAGCAGACGTGGCGCCTGGCCAGGGAGATCCTCACCAACCCCAAAAGCCTGGAGAAGCTTTGAGGTAACCCGCCCGAGATCTTTTCGCAGGCGCCGCGCTCGCGCGCGTGCGCGACACGCACTCGCGCGCGCACACACGCTTTCCGGTACGATTCCCACGACCCCTTTGACGAGACTTGAAACGCGCGTGGACATTGGATACCGTCGATGTGTTGATGGCGTTGTGAGATTGTGAATGTTGGTGGCTTTTGCTTTTCTTGATCTCCCGGGAACGAAAACAACCTAATTTATACTTTTGCTCGATACGGTTTGTACTCCTTTTTTTTTCTCGCAAAAGTTTACATTTGAGTGTAAAGCATCTGTTAAAGAAACATTCCATCGAGTTACTTGAATTTTTAATTTAAAGAATCTTTTTATTGGCTGTTCTCTTCTTTTTTTTTTTTTGATTGCTCTGCCACGATTTCTTTGGACTAAAACCTATATAAATATAGTAAATATATCTGACGGTAAAATTAAGGAAAAGAAATGCACTTGAACTACACTGGATTATAACATCTGTGACCTGTTTGTTTTTTTAAATTGTCATCCACTTAATTTAAAGAGCTAATAAAACCAACTGTTATATATGTATTTGTTCGTCGTCATGCTTTTGTTTGAAAAAAAAAGTGACAATCGGAACGACGATGGGGTTTTAAATGATCCATTTTTTTAAAAATAGAAAATACACGGAGACGTGGACGCCATGAAAAGGAAGTTCAAAGCGGCTGATGAATTTGCGCAATTTGACATTTGCTGCACGGCAACATGGCGCGTTGCAAAGGGAGCTGTTGCCGTTGCCGTCGCTGTCGTTTCGGGGAAGGCGTTGCGTGCGTGCGCAACTGACCTTGGGGCTGACCCCCTTAAAGGCGGGGTCGTCCTCGTCCACCTCGAAGTAGATTTCGCTGCCGGTGATGGAAAGGGTCCCCCGAGCCACCAGGCCGGGCGCCACCAGCTGGGCCGGGCTGCTCAGCACCACCGGGCCTGCGCGGCGCAAAGAGCCAAAAAAAACAGCGCATCAAATGCATTCAGTGGAAAAGAAAAAAAAAACAACAACAAACATGCAGTGACAAGTATTTTCCCTCCACGACGCTGTACCAATATACGTGTAGTCGCCACGTGACAATAAAACACCTTTCGACTTTTTAAAAAGTCACTCGAGACACACTTTAGCGTGTGTTTAATTTTGCAGGATTGTCAATTCAAAAATAAAAACTTTTTTTTTTTTTTTGCATAACGTGGGGTCACACACGAGGAATAAAAATCCTTTGAAAATCAAAACGTTCAGTGAAAATAAATCTGTCGCTCGGCACTATGATGTGCATTTTAATTTTTGGAGGGTTTGAACTGCGAATTAAGAAAAAAAATAAGGTCGTGTTTTCCAAACAATGCAAAAACGTATTGAAACCAATCATTTGATAAAATTGAATCCATTTTTTAAAAGTTATGACAAACTGCGGTGTGGTTTATTTCCGACAGGGTCTGTGTTATTAATACAAACAAAAGGAAATGTCGCTTGTTTGCACAAGTTGAAATCAATACACTTCGTCACACACACACACACACACACACACACACACACACACACACACACACACACACACGCACACACACACACAAAAACCTTATAGGAACCAAAACGTAATAAAATGAACCACTATTGAAACACACCACTCACGATCCAGTTTGGGTTATTATTTAAAAAAAAAAAAGCACTGCACTGTAGCAATGACCAAAAGCGTACAAGGGGAAAAAAACAATCTGCAGTGAAATTGAGTCATTTCTTCAATCAAGTGTCACGACACGTGGACGTTCGTCTTTCGCATTCATTCCCAGCAACTGTCGTGACACTTTTCCAGGCTGTGATCTGATTTCATAATTTAACACTCCCACCAAAAAAAAAAAAATAAATGTATTCAAAAATGTCCATCGTCAACGAGCACAAAATCACGAGTGTAACATTGTTCAGTCAAATATTAGGAACGGGCCTGCTCGGCCTGGCATCGGAAAGGAAAACGAAAACAACAACAACAAGAAGAAACAAGCTGCCGCCTTCACGTCGCCGTGACGAGCCAGCAGTTTGCTTGCTTGCCATTGTCGCAGATTGATTGTTCACCGCGCCGGGCGCTGCGCGTGCACGCGGCCACGCACGCGCGCAGGATGGGAAAAAAATCCGGATTCTTCATCGATCCCTTTAAATCAAGAGGAGCCACTTGAACGCGCCGTCCGTCTTCATCGGCGACCTCCAGGGCCAATTAGAGGGACGCCGGTGCGCCCCCCCCCCCCGCCTAGCACCAAACGCGCCTGCGCAGCGCCTCGACGCCATCCAACCTGCCCTCGGTTATCGTGTTTGGTGACGTCACCGCGAGTAATCCGATTGTTGGCAACCAGATTATTGTTGTTCGTGTAATAAAACCTTCGGATGGCGAGCTAAAGAGGCGCAGCGCAAACGCACGCGCTGATCGGCGAGTCTCTTGTCTTGCAGCACATTGCAAGATTAATAAAGCGGATTATAGAAACATTTTAATCCCCCCCTCGGAGAGCCTTTCAGAATTGGGCGATTTGGCCTTGCGAGGTTTACATGAGAATAATGAAATTAAGGGCACGTTAACACGAGATTTAAATTCAAGTAGCCTGCGTGCTTAGTAGTTCTTTTTTTTCTCTCGGTGGGTATAAATTGGAACATTTTAATTTTGCAGGTTTTGGTGAAAAAGTCTAATTTTCGGTTTATTACCTCACAATACACCCGCACGAGATCGAAAGTGTTATTAAAAAAGCAAGCAGGCTATTACTCAGTTTGCATACGCCCACGCATTGGACACTTCATTAGGTACCGGGTGTGAAGAATAACACAATGAAGCGCCAAGAATAAACCACGTGACTATTGCTGTTGGCGTTTGGAATTGAAACGGTTTCAAGTTTAAAACTCTACAAAGAAAAAAAAACACGCAAAAAAATTACGTTGTTTTTTTTTTGTGACCGAAACGCAATACAGTATTATTATTTTTATCTTACAAGGTACATCTCGATGATAATTAAACATATAGGGCGGGTCATATTGTCGCATTGACCACTGTGTGTGTGTGTACCAAATTAAAAATATAAAAAATGAACACGATGGTGAAACGAGCGACCGTTTGTATTCATTTTTGCGCACGTGTACCCAATAAAATGTCTCAGTTGGTGCATTGCATGATGTGCACACCATGCTAAGTCTTCCAAATAAGGAAGAATAATAATACAAATTAATATCCTTGGTTAAAACATACGGGATGCAAGAGTATATTCATCAAACGTTAATACAAGACACGCGAATATTTATATTTCTTTCAAACAATTTTATGCTGCAGGTAAACACGACATATCCATTTTAAAAATTTGTGAAAGCTTTACAAAATAATATTTTAAAAATATATTGCCATTGTTAGTTGAACAAAATACAAAGTAATTGTTGAATTGGCAAACAATACGTGACACACACACACACACACACACACACACACACACACACACACACACTCGTTTCTGAATTTAACATGAACTAAGCTGTAAAAGTGTTACGAGGATGAAAGGTAACTGTACATGCGTCGCCTCTTGTCCGACATGGACACGCAAGTGGTTCCTTTAGGCGTCCGCGCACATGCCTGTCCATTATTCGGATCTCAGTCTGAGCGTGGATGCAGGGCTGACCGAAAACTCTCCACGTGACCACGTGAAAAGTGCACTGAAAATTGTTGAATTGACTCGATTTTATTTGGTCAAGTGCCTGCGAAAAATAAAAAAACAATCAACCGGATCCAGAGGCATTTTTTTAAGTCGCTGGTGGTACGAACAGCTACTTACATGTTAGCACTGTTAAATGTCAAATTCCCATTACAACAGTCGACTTGGAAAAATGTCCCTGGATCCAATCAATTTTATTTTGTGCAACCATTTGATTGCAATAAGACAAGAGTATATGCAACACACGCTCTATATATATATATATATATATATATATATATATATATATATATATATATATGAGAAATATGCTCAAATGCTCATAAATAAAGCAACTCAAATCATCCAAACGATGGCTCGTATCTGGAAAAAAGGTCGGCTCGCGTTTAGCTGGAGTACCACTCCATCCTTCCATTTGGACATGTTAGGCCTTAATCACAACTTCTCTTTTAGATGGAGAGTAATCCGTTTTTTTTTCATTCTGGTCGCTTGACTGTGAAGGTCGGCGAGAACGAGTCGGGCCTCTCGGTCACGCCCCCAGGCGGGAGGGCGCCGATGAGACTGGCTGAGGTTGAAAGTGGCGCTCGGCGCTGGCCCGCTCTCCAGTGGCTTTTTTGCCAAGATGACTGCGTTTGTGTGAACAGCTAGCTCATTCCCGCATCTTGTGTCACTTAATGTAAAAAAAAAAAAAAAAAATTCTCATAACAAAATAAAATACACGACATGGACAAAAGTATTTGGACGTGTGCTCGTTACGCATGCTGGAAGAACATGTAGACAGCTTGCAGTCTTCCAGGAAGACTTTCTTCCAAGAGTTTTTCAAGAAGTCTTTCCTTTGTACTGCAATTCAGTTGTGTTTAACTTTGAAGATCAATTGATTTAACTTGAATCCTGAATGTTTATCTGGAAATGTTTGGTACAGCTTTTGTAAAACTTTGATGTGCGATACATTTTCATTGAATCATTATTCACGTGCACTCGTAGCGCTCAGTTAACGAGCGTCACCTGTTTTTTGCTCATGCGACGTTTGCGAGTTGGAACATTTCAAGGCTGAGCTTCACTCAGCGGCAACTTTTCCACGCCGCGCTTGAATGCCTCTGAACAAATGACAACCACCAAGGAGAGCGCATCGACTTGGTGACATGACCCAGTCCAAGGTAAGGAGACACACATTCCCCGAGGCAAGAAAACGGAGCGCTGCAATGCAACCAAGTGGAGACTGCGGGCGGTGCCTGCGGCTAGGCAACAGGGTAAGCTAACATTAGCACGTGTTTATTTTTGTCTTTTCTTGACGTCTATCAAGCGTTTTCAATTCTAAAGTGACGATTAAAGCATCGCAATCACAATGCTTTCACAATGTCACAGTTCCCGGATGTCTTCATAGAAAGTCTTTGGCTCCAAAATTTAAAAAATATATATATTTTTTTAAAAATCATACTTTTCACACTGGCTGAAATCACCCCACCTCCTCTAGTGCCAAGTGGGGCATTTGTTACCATGACAATTTGGGGTCGGGTACTAGTCTGCTGGCCCCAAGTCTAAAAAAGTGAGTGCAAACTGTGTCAATCACGTGAGCACCCATAGAAACAATACAAGTATTTTCATTCACAGGGGCAGCACTTTTTCACCGAGCTGCCAAATGATGATTCATGGAGAGGATCGTGCGGCAGGAAAAATTTCAAACCCCTCGTTCGCTGACACACTTTAGAATATGCGTTTCGGGGACAGGGATGGAGCCAGAAGGGTTCGTAAGTGCCTGTCGATGGCACAAGATGGCGGCAAAGGACTTCTTTTGTTTAAAAGAAGCTCCTCAACTCACTTCATATCGTTTCGATGACACCAAGACACCACCAGATGGCGCCAAAAATTAAATAGCTGATATTTTTCCCCCTGTGAATCGCGGAGGATAGTTTCCAATAAAAGAATCTGCGACTACATGCTGACCGCCAGCCCGCGGAGGCGAACCGGATGTGCGCCGTTCTTGACGGCGAAACGCCGTTCGTCGGAATTGTGTTAAACCGAGCTAAGGGGTAGAGAGGGCCCAAATGGCCATCAGAATGGATTAAGTCTGCGTAAGAATACTTTTGGTGTTGACTTGAAAAGCGTCTCTAAGTGTAATTACAAAGGACGCAGATGAAACGCATCTTCTCATTGGCGAGCACAATGGAGGCTTTGAAAGGAGGCAACGCTAATCAGCTAAAAGTCATTGTTGTTCTCTCTTCACAACATCAAACGGACGAGGAAAAAGTTGAAGGGACGAAGACGGGGTCTCTCTTGCGCTCGTCTCGCAGGCGAGTCGCCGCAAGAAGCCACTAAAGTCTCACATGCGGTTTCACGCGCAGCGCAGCTCGGCTTGGCACCGCGACGCTTTTGGACGGCCGCTGAAAGCGCAACGCCGGCTCACGCGTCCCATTGTAAAGCCGCGGCGGTGGCTCGTAAAGCCACCCGCAACGGATTGATAGCACAATCGTACAAATTATGGGATGTTCCCTGGGCCCCCGCAGACTCTACGACAGGATGTGTTGGGGATTGTGTTTCAAAAAGGGCGCATGGACCGACTGTTGCATTATCGGGGGTGTAAGAGTAAGCCCCAAATCCCGAATGGGTATGCGTCTTGGCTTCGAGGTCACGTTGCAGGTCACATGGCGTCCAGTCATGGAAGAAAATGTGCAAGATGAATCCGTTTTTCTTTTGTTTTAACAGAAACACACGTGGCGGAAAACCACTTTAAAACATTACATGGTTAAGATAACAATATTCACCCCCCAATTAAGAAAAGATAAGTTAAACAGTTCAAATCAATCGTGCTTTGCAAAGGATAAACAATATATGTGTTGCTCGACAGTTTGTGTCTCGACATCCGTTGCTTGAAGGCATAATGAAAGCTACATGCTAACTCTCAGCATCTGTGCCGATGGTGTTTGCCATTCTATGCTAGCACTAAGCTAGCAAAGGCTACATAGTCCGTTGAATATGTGTCCTTATTTTCCTCTTTGTTTTATGTTTGATGGTAAACCTAAAGCCTCTTTTTTGAAGCTAACTGCGGCTTGTTGGGAAGTGAATTCATTGACGTCGACAAATGCATTTATTGATAGCGGATTAAATCTCTTCTTTCTTGTCAGGTGCAACGTCAATCGCCCGTATGCTAGTTAGGAAACGAGCACCTCAAACAAACGGGAACACTTGAACCAATCTGAATGATAACAACTGAAAAATGTTTGTCGAATTGTTAGCGCTTTTGTTATATCTGAAGAGTTTGCGAGCCATCGTGTGAGCTGCGTTCCGTCTGTTCCATTTTCTGTGGCATCTGCGCCGCAAAATAGGAAAATCGCCATTCTGCCCTTTGCGTTTCATCATGTGAGCTAACACAACGTAAACGCAACAAGAACGTCCGATTTGAAAACGGACTCACCACCCAGGCCGTCCGTCTCCTTCTCCTGCAGCAGGCCGGCGGAGTCATCGTCTCCGTCCAGAATCAGCTCCATTTCGGGGCTCTGGCTGGGAAGACTTTGGCCCGGGAAGACCAAAGTCTTCAACTTAACCAGCTCGTCCTCTTCCGTCGCTGCCCAAAAAAGAAACACGGGACAACGTTAACCTTTTGGGAATATTTGGACCATCGTGGCTCGGTGCGTGAACACACGTTAACAACGGTCTGCAATATTTCCGCGTGGCACTTGTTTTCAACGAATGCATCAGCAGTGTGGAACTGTCGCAGTTCGCTTTGCTTTTAGGAGTCCAGAAACCCAACGTCAAAGATTGGCTAACAAACCGAGAGCGAGCGCGCGGCTGTTCGCATGTCGCACCGTCGAAAGCAGGAAGATGCCACATGCCATCGTCGCATATAAAAGCCGGCCCCCGCATTTGCCGTCTTGAGCGCCATTTGAACATCACACGTACGTTTGCTTTTATTCCCAGACAAGGTCAGGAATGAAACACAACGTTTGCGTCTTGAAAGACCAACGGCTCGCCGTCGATTAGCGCCGTTTTGGAGACGTGACAAGAGGCGAGGCTGAACAGACAGCGCAATTAGGTTGCGCCGGGACTTCATCATTTGCCGGCAGCTCGACGGAGAGCGCGTCTTCATACATCCGCACAAAACAAAAGCGGGG